AAAGATGAGGTGATGAAATATATGGTAACAAGGATGGAGGTGAAGTTTGATAAATATTAAAATGAATATTCTGTTAATCTCGCCTTTAGATGCGTTATTGATCCAAAGAAAAAGTTAAGTTTTATTAGTTTTTGTTATAAAAGGCTTTATCTAGTTTATTACAAATAGAAGGTCAATACTATAGGATGAATGATAAATTATAAAATCTCTTTGGTAAATATCTAAACCAATCACCCACTATATCAACTTCATCTATATTAACTGCTTCAATAGACATTCAATCTTCTTACCAAATACGAAGGTAAAACTTCTCATCATCCATTCTTGAGGTAAGAAATTTTTCCTTTGTATTTGGTAAGAAGAGTGAATGTCTCTTGAACTAGTTGAGATAGATAAAGTTGACGATCTTGGGTTGGTTTAGGTATTCACCAAAGAGTTTGGATAAACCAGTCTTCACTTTATTGACATTCTTTTTATAATCAAATAGATAAATCTTTTTATAATAAAAACTAATGAAATTCAACTTTGTCTTTGGATCAAGAACACATCTAAAGGCAAGACAAATATTCATTTTAATATTTATCAAACTTCACATTCATTCTTGTTGTCATATATTCGATCACCTCATCCTCGCTAGTCATATTTTTATTCAACCCCATCTCAATAATAGCAATTTGAAGAAAATATAAGTTGGAAGTGAGATAAGATGATCCCACCATCAATTTAGTAATATCATAAAAAGAGGCAAAATATTTATAAATCTTTTTAGCATTTTTCTAATCTTCATTAATTGGACAAAACTTCTAACATTTATCAATATATACCAAATTAATGAATACTTGACTATACTTAATAGCACTTTAGTGTATCACATATGTACCATTCCATCTAGTTGCCACATCTAATCTTAAGAAACCACTACTATATCACTTAAGTGCACTTCTCTAACATATTTTTTAAATTCTCTTAATCTCTTTTGATTCCTTAACATACTTAACATTTTCTATAATTTTGTAGAGAGCATCATTATCTATTATCTTCAATTCTTCTTGAGTTGTAATATTGAAGATATGTGCACAAAGCTTCACGTGAAAATATTCACATTTACATAACAAATCATTATGAAAATTAAGTCTGTCTTTTTAAAATGTTCACTATGTTATCATTAGATGAGACATTGTCTAATGTGAGAGAAAATATTTTTCTTTCTATTCCCCAATCTTTAAGCATTTCAAGCACCTTCGTTAATAGTTCTAATCTAGTGTATGAACTATCTAAGTGACAAAAATAAAATGGTAACTTAATGTTTAATTTCCAATTTTTGATCAACAAAACGAGTAGTCACAATCATATAGCTTTGGTAGTCATAGTTGTTTATACAACTAAAGTCTAACATATTCTATTAATGAAGTAAGTAGAGGTATATATATATCGTGAATAATAATATATAAAGGTGATAAATTATCTCATACTACCTACATCCATGTCTGGACAATAAATATCTTTATGAATAATTTATAATAAGTTTGAACTCCTCTTATCACCATTTTTAGACTTATTAGTTTGCTTAATCCGCACAAGTCTTAAAATTAGTAAAATCTAAAGCACTAAATATTTAATCATTTATTAATCACTTAATTCTCTTAATGGAGATAGGTCCTTATCTCCAGTGCCACAACATAGTGGAATTCTCATTCATAACACATCATTTAAACTTGGTAGAAACATACATAAAACTATAAGTAGTGTTGTTTTGTAAATTAATTGAGTAAAGGTCATCACATAGTTCACCAAAACCAATAACTTTTGATTTGTTCAATAAAATAAAATCATAATCCAAAAAACTAAAAGAGAAACCCAAAGGTGCAAGTTCTGAAATGGAAATTAAGTCCTTACTAAAACTAGAAACGCAAAAAGTCTTTTTAATATTAAATAAATGTAGTGTTTAAAACTAATTTAAATGTCCTAAGGCCCTTCACATGTGAGCTCATTACTTCCTGAATATCGACCTCCTTAGGTTTTGCATATCCTGTAAGGTATTTCAAATATGGATGGTAGATCTAAAATCAATCCAATATATGTTATGATTAATATTAGTCATACTAGATTTATAACAAACAAAAGCAAAGGAATTACATTTCTTCTCTAACCAATTCTTAAACCTTGGACAATCTTGCTTCATGTGTCTCTTCTTTTTACATAGAAACACTTAGACTTCTTCTTTATAACTGATTGAGTTGAAGTCTTTCCTTTCTTATTAACTTGATTCATCTTTTTCTTAAGAGAAGTATTCAAGTTCAATATTTCACCTTCTTCCATAAAAAACCTTTCATCTTCTTGAACACACATGGTCAATAATACTTTTTGTTATGTGTGTTATAAAATTTTTTAAAAGGAGTATATTGATGAGGCAAAGTACACAAAATATAATATACTAGAAATGAATCAAACATGGTAACATCCAAGGCTTTTAGTTAAGCCACAATGTCCCTTATGCACATGATATGATGAACCACTCCCTTAATTTCGGTGAACTTTAAGGATGAAAATTGTATATTAAAGGTGCTGCAAAGAGATTTATCATGTGATAAATTATTCATCAATAACCTTTAATAAATCTCTCATATTGACATGATGGTAAATAGAACATCTTATTCCAATAGAAATGTTTGTCTTCATGAATATTATAGAGACGATTTGACCTCTCCCATTTATCATAAGGATCAACAACATTTAGAAATTGTTAAAAATAATTGATGGTTCTAGTTTTCTAATAACATAATCAATGTTCATCCAACCCAGCTGAAGAAAAACTCTCTCCTTCCAAATCTTATAATTATCACCTTTTAGTTATGGAATATCCCACTTGATATCACAAATATTCACATATTGAGAAGTCACAAAATATATACTTATCATCACAATTTGAGACTATAATAAATGTCATGTTTCAATAATGTAAAACATGTCTTAATTAATAAATCTAGTGACATAAAATTTGTTTGTAAGCTAAATTTTTGTTCATTTGGACTCATAAAAACTTATAAAAAAACTATTTAATTATTTTTCGTTTCTCAATTTTTGTGGGTAATTTAAGAAATATAATCCAATATTTATTCTAATTAAACATATAAATGTAAGAAAATTCATGTCTGTATATTTCATTACATCACATATAATTAATTATAACTAATGTTTACAATATGATTATAAATATTAATCAATGAAAGATGGTGTGGCTACTTTCTAATTTATTAAAATTATGTACACCATTTAACATTAAGAATTAAATATTTGCATTGGCATTCTTTTTACTACAACCAAATAACAATAATACTACATAATTGTAATTTCATATGTATTATATATACATATAATCATAAATAATGATATGTATTTAAATACAAAACTTGTTGATAAATCATTTTATTAGAAGATGTTTAGTGGTGTTTGCACATTATTCATAGTTAGTTTATTTGCAAAATCACATATTCTCATTAATAGCAAGCAACACCAAATTATACCAAAAACATATAATCACAACATAGATCCAAAACAAGACAATAGTATTTAACTATGCTTTGATACCAAATAAACTCTAAAAAAATGCGAAAATAGGAAACTTAGACATATCCTTGCCATTGTTACTATCATGGATTTGGAATGTGTTTTTTGGTTTCAAACCTTTACTCTCTTACATCTAATATAAAAGAGAGCGGATTTAAAGAACTATGTCTATCATAAAGTTTCAGAAATATAGGAAGTTAGTGGCAAAGAACCCTCACATAAACTGCTCTGATAATGGATAAAAATGAACCACATTCATCTAATGTGGGTTTTAACTACTGTTTAATGGGTTAATTGCTATGTAATGTGTAAATTATTATACTCACATCCCTAAATATGGGGATGAATCTGTTAATTGTTATTAATGTGAGAAGATTATCTTAAAAAATATAATAAAAAGAATATATCTATAAATGTTGGATTTTAACCTTGGATGGATAAATTGTTTAACCCTAATTTTCTTAAATTTTTATTTTTTTCAATTTGAATTCATATTTTTATTTCTCTTTAATTTAATACCAATTTCCCAAATTGGTGATCAAATTAGAAACGCTTTATAAAACAAGGGAATTGACACAATTAATTGTAGAGGAAATTTGTGGTACCTTAACTTCTTATGAGGGTCAGCATAGAATAGAAATATAAGAAAGGGTAAACAAAAAAAAAAAAAAGGAAAAAAAAGTTAAAGTAAAAAAAGGTTTGATTTTTACCTTTTAATAAAAATAGTTTGTGATCAAGACAAAAATTTAATATTTATTAGAGATAAAAATATATTTAAAGTCCTATTGATTATTATTGAAGTAGTAAGTGCAATGACGTCAATTTTAATATTGATTTCCCAAAAACATATAACTTAAAGGTATTGAACGAATTTTGGAGAAAAAAAAGGGTGCAAATATAATCATAGGGTTAATTTTTATTAACCGTTAAGAGTGTTTTGAAGGTTTTGAAGGAGGGTATTTAGTGTTATACGTGAAAAATAATTAAGATTTTCTATAAGATCAAATAATAATTTACTTAAAAACATAAAACAATATACGGAGATGTATTTCGGTTTATTCTAAATAAGGATTGTTTGAAGTTAGGGATAAGTATGTTATTCTGAAATCAAAAGTAATAATTAAATAAGCTCTTCTTAATAAGATTGATTCCATTATTTTAGATCTTTAAGATCACAAGATAAAGCTAGCTTAAATCCACGTTTTACTTTTAATCAATAGTCGTAGTTTGAAGGCAAATCTCATGAATTCAACATAATCTTGATTATCAAGGACAATCATCTCTTAGGTCCTTTCCCATCCACATTAACATATTCATGTATAAATTATTATGAATCATATTTATATATAAAGATTTATTTAATTTTAATTTAAAAATATGATATAATATATGTATGTCACATTTAAGTTAATATAATATGACCAAGTGTAAAAATGAACTTGATATGTAGAAGCACTCCCAAAACAATTTTTCTCCTCAGTGTGCCAGTTCAGGGAGGGGAGAACGAAAAAGTCGGTGATCTCCTTAGTTTGTTGGAAGCCACTACTATGATTGTGGCCAATTCAGTGAAAGTGACTCACAGGGAGAAAGATCGAAATACCCTCAAACTTGGGAAAGTAAACCCTTCAAAGAGTTGCCACCTATTGGAATTTGAAACTGCGTGCACCCATCACCATGACCCACTTGAACAGGGGAATCACCCAAGTGCTAGAGGTCCTCTACCAATTGAATGTCTACAAGACATTGAGCACAAGACAATAGGATCAAATCATGATTACTGCCCGTAAAATACGTAAAGTCTCTCTTTTTATTATTATTATTATTATTCATTTAATTTCCAGTTAAATTCATCCGTCAAATGAAATTTTGAGAGCTACACCCTCAAGAAGAACATATTATTTAATTACATTTGATGCAGAAGTGTTGCATTGCAAAGTAAAAAAAGATGGCAAGAAACCAGCACATTGGGGACGTAGAGTGCCATTTTCCTTTAGCTTATTATTCACTCACTCACTCATGTCTACCACATGATCTCAAATATAAACAGAAGAACTCGAGAGTAGAAGCTAGAGACATGCTGTATACTACCATTGAAAATTCAGTAAGACCAAGACCAGATGGCTTGATCTTCCTCCGGAATTCCAAAATGGCATGAACTATGTGGTGGGTCGGAGTAACCAACATCTTCAAGTTTGGGAAAGATGTAATGAGGCAAAAGGGTCTTTCTCAGGTTATCTTCTTCATCCTGAGACACATCAGAGTGATCAGGTTCAAATACATAAGAAGAGTCACCAGTCTCAAGGAGTGCAGAGTGCACTCCATCAGTGTAATGTGGGCTTTCTGATGAATCAAACATGTCACTCTTGGCTGAACTAGTGTCTTCCTGTTTACAAGCCCCAATGGACACTTTGGATCCTTCACCCTCAGAAGCTGAATCAATCATTGACTTCTGCAGCGGCTCCTGCAATCCCTTGGTTTCAGCCTGTTCAAAGTTCCCCTCCTCGGGTTTCTCTCTTCCAAGCACCTTTTCAGTGAGCCTTGCTACCTAAATTGAAAGACCACAATCACAAACATTTTCATGAATCATAGGTGAGTAAGTTGACAGATACAACTAGGTAAATCAATCCTTTTAGAGGAACAAAAGTATCCATAAGTAGACAACTTGGTTTGGTAAATCGTTGCATTTGGGAAAACGAGTCAGTGACCCAGCTATGAGATTCTAACGAAGACACATGTATTGCTAGTTTAAAACTATTTCCCAACATACTTACAAGCATATTGCCAATTGGAAGACACGCACTTCGTCAAATCAACAATTTAACACAAGTTACTGTTTCAAGTGCTAAATTTTAGGTTAACTCCAAGCTTGTCATTCTTAAATTCAGTAAGTAACATCAACTCAACATAAGTTACTACTTGCAAGAGCTAAGTTATACATCAATTCAACTTAAGTTACTACTTTCAAGAGCTAAATTATACATCAACTCAAAGTTTGCCATTCTAAAATTCAGTAAGCGGCATCAACTGAACTCACCTCAGCTTTGAGTTTATCCTTTTCCCTGAGAAGATCATCATAGTTGGCCTTGAGGTCATTATAGCAAGCCTGCAGGGAATCATAATCCTTCTCCATCTGCTTGGTCTTCCACCGCGCCCGGCGGTTCTGAAACCAAATCGCCACCTGCCGCGGCTGCAACCCGAGTTCCTTAGCTAGCCGAATCTTCCTCTCGGGTTCGAGCTTATTCTCCTCATCAAAGCTCTTCTCAAGAAACTGCACTTGCTCCACGGAAAGCCTGCGTTTTTTCTCAGGCTGATAAAAGTACTCGTCCATGTCCTCATCCCCATTCTCATCATAGGATAGGAAGAGCGACTCGTTGCACCCCTTCCCCCCTTGAACATCTCCAAAGCTCAATATAGATCTTGAACCTGAACAGACAACAACACAACAAAAAATCATTACCTTTGTATAAAATTAAACAATTTAGACTTCTAAAAGTTCTATTCCATCCACCCATGTTTGTAATTGTAGGGTGCTTGGCCAACCCAAACCCAAACCCAAACCCAATCACAACTTAGGTAAGTGAAGGTTGTACTTATTAGCCATTAATTTTTGGTCAGATGGTGAAAGAGTTTATTTTTATCACTTAAACTAATGTGTAGGCTAGGGCTGCTTTTGTTACAAGACTTTCTTGTCAGGGATAAGAGAGAGAAGGAAGGTACCCAGAAAAGAGGAAGACGAAGATTGGAAAAGAGAATCGAGAGGCTGAGAGGTGGAAGGTGGTGTTTGGTTGGGAAGCAAAGTGGTTAGATTGGAAGCAGCGGAAAAGACAGTCCCACCCGCCATGTCGGAACCGTTGAATCCTCAGAGAAAGACCATGGGGTGTGGTCAACGGTGTTGAAATACGGCGGTCAAGTAAAAGTGTAAAAATCTAAAGCTTGTGGCGGAAGAAGCTGGTGATGATTATTGCGGTGATGTGTGAGGTGTGGGAACAGCGGCAGCATACACCCATCACTGAGACACTCAGAAGATGGGGAATTGAAAAACAAAAGAAACTGACTTTGGAAGAGAGTGCAAGAGGGAAAGCGGTGCAGAGAGAGAGAGAGAGAAGGGTTGGAGAAGAAGGAAAGAGGGTTTCGTTTTCTTGCGTGTTCCTAGAAGAAGAGGGAATCGTGTGTGTTTATATCGCGCACATGGACCGAGACGGAGATGATGATGACGGTGGTGGAGGAGAGTGGTGCTTTACCATGATGCCCTTGCGACGTTAACCTTCATCATTTTGTTTGATTTTGTGCGCATCGCACGTTTACCTTGCTTAATTACTGTGTCATGTGAATTGCTAATTATCATATTAACTTTTGTAAGGTTTAAATTTAATCTTGTTGTTTGATTTTAATTATTTTGGAAATTTTACTTTTACCGCTCTTATTAACATAGTTAGTACTATTTACTTTTATTTATTGTTAAAAAAATATTAAAGAGGATCTCCACTGTACACATATAACATTCAAGAATTCGTACACATGTTAAGATAGATTTAAGATAAATAATTGAATTATTATACGAATTAAGCTTTAATCACACGACAAAGATCCATGAAATAAAGTTTTATTAAAATATTATTATGTGTTTATTATTTCACGTGTTACCTAACTTTAATATCTTTATAGCACATTCTAATAAAATATATTATTATGCTATTTTTAGAATGTAATTTAGAAATTGAAATTTAAGTAATTTATATATCTTTCATTAAAGCGTGTTTTAAGAATAAAATTATAATAAAAAAACTTTAAAACGGACATTATTTTAGATATTAAAATTAATAATAATAATATTATTATAATAAACATGAAGTGAAGATACTTTTTATCTTTTATCTTGTTTCAATAATATTTTTTAGTTTTCAATTGAGATATATGTTTTAATATATTTATGAACCTCACAAATTTCAACCATCTCACTCCTATACTTTAATTCTCTATTGTAATATATGTTTTTAAAGAACATTGTACATAAAAAAATAGTACCTAGTATTAAAAAAGTCTAGTTAATATTAAAATATTTTTATTATCTAAACATAATTATATTATTCGAGCGTAATTAATATTCCATTCCATTATAATAAAAAGTATTAGATTCGTAATTTATTCATATTTATAATTATGCTTAATTGTCAATTAAACGAAGAAGAATTTCATGTTAAAGACAATCAACGTATTTCTTAGACTTTTTACATTTTCAAACTATGTATTAGTGTGGGTTGTAAGAATTAAAGTACAGTGGAATGAACGAAAATATGGATACATATTTTTTTTTTCATAAAAGATTTTCCAATAATTTGTGGAAAGAAATTGAAATATTGATTATATATTTATATTTCATGTTACATTTTATATCACCCTATTTTCTGTCATGATTTTTTTTTTTCATTCACTTATTTTCTTGTAGAACTCGTTTCATGATATTCTCGTTCGTCTCTCCTAAGCACTGAATAGTGTTGTTTTAGTCCGTTTTCCTTTAATGATTTAAGTTTATTTTAATTTTAATTTCTTACAATGTTATATTATATTTATTAACACAAGGGTGAATATATGTATGGTAACGGTTGAAGTTAAAGAATAAGTTTATCAAATGTAAAAATAGAAAAGATAAATAAAATGTAGATTTGAAAGATATATGTAGTTTTAAAATTTAAGTTGAAGATGATTTTATTAACATCTTTTACTGTTTTTATTCTCTTACATAAGATATAAGATTTTTTAATATTTTATTCAATTTTTTTTTATTGTAGATCTCATTTTGAGATCTTAAGTAATCTTTTAGGTACCACAGTAAATTAATTTAATATTTTAAAAAAATAATTAATTAAATATTAATATTTAAAAATTAAAATACAAAAAAATAAAAAATAGTATTAATTAATAAAGATAAATTAACTTTAATATTAATAAAAAAATTCAAACATTAATAAAAAAATATAAACATTGGTAATGAACATGAAAAAATAAATTTTTGTCATTATTATTATTTTTAAAATGTTTTTAAATTTTTTCTACCAACTTTACTTAAAGTTATTAATGAAATTCTCTTGTAAATAAATAAATATATATTATTTTATTTTTTATTTGTAGGTATATAATGAAGTAAGGATAAACACAAATAAGATAGTTAATATTTGGAATATCTTTGTGATTTTGATAATAATCAATATTAACGTTATCATTGAATTGAATATATTTTGTTTATAATTAATGTTATCATTGAATATATTTTGTTTATATTTAATAATCATACATAAGAGTAAAAAATAAAAAAATAAAAAAATAGAGAGCTTAATAACATTTCTCTTATGATTTATTTATTTATAGTGATAACGTACATATATATAATAAGTAGATGAAAAATTAAGGGGTTAAAGACAATACAACTGATATATAAATGATTTCAACGCTCTCCTTAATAATTTTATTAATATATCCACAAATTTGTTATTATATTTAATAAATATTGTACAAATTTTTTTAATCACTAACTTTTCTCAAATAAAATGACATTAAATCTCTCAAATGCATATGTTTTTTTTTTATGAAATGATAACTTCAAGTATTATCTTAAGTTTGTGCTGAAATTAATTATTTATTATAGAGTCAACAAGAATAATATATTATTTAAGAAGATTTTTTGTTTTTGACTCTTGTTGAATTAATATTAACATTAGGTAAAAGATTTGTGTGAATTATTTGAGATATTACAAGATCATATTATTTATTTAAGATTCTTAAAAAACAAATGACATAATCAATATAAATACTCTATACTAATAATTAATTTGCAATTATAACAATTAGCTAAAGTTATAAGTTACAATTTTGAAGTTTTTGCCACTCCTTTTAATAAGTGAAATACATTGTAATAGATTAATCATTGTGTTTAAATGTATAAGTCTATTAATGAGTTTGAGTAATGCGAAAAATATATCTTTTAAATATTCTCATATATTTTATTGCTATTTTAGTTGATATTATACTTATAATAAATTGTAGTTCTACATATCACTAATGTGTTGTCCCAATTGTGGTACTTAAGATAATTTTTTTTTTTAACTTAAGCAAGACTTTCATCAATTATAGCCAACTTGTTCTTTGATTTAACTATCATGATTATACTATTGAATAAAATTATATGGAAAATAATAGGTTGAAATGTTAGTTAGAATATTTTGTTTTACAATTGTCTTGGTCAGTCATGTTTTTAGACAATTATTGTCTCGTTGGAGTTCCTTTCTTAAGACTACAACTTGTTCTTTGTCTAGTGTCTACAAGTCTATTGTCAATAGTTCCTTTCTCAAGACTCCCTTCAGAGTTATTTACATTATTCTCATTTCTTTGTTGTACCATGGTGGGTATCCATACTTAGATTCCTTGCTATTTCCAATTGCTTACGTTACCTTTTCCAGCTTGAAATTTCCAATTAGTTTGGCTTTGGGTGTTACTAAAGATTTATTATCAATTTGTATGTTCCATGTAAGTTGTCTCTCCTGATGCAAGAGTAAATGTCTCCAAGATCTTTCAAGAAAGAAGTAACGTGCTCAGACTCTCCATGTATAACCACTGTTTTAACCAAATTGTAGCTGCACTTAATTTTGCAACATACATGAAATAGTGGGTCTTAAATATTCTAGCTCTTCCCAAAAAAATCTTGATGTTGGCAAAGTATTGAATAATGCTTCTTTCTCTTTGTTTGATAGAATAAATTTCTTGAAAAAATTTGAAATTGTAAAATGATCACCTTTGAAAAATCTCTTTGAAGTCATTCCATAATTCTTTTGTAATATGAATGTAGATAGTACTTTCACCAATATGAGTATTAACAATTTTGTAATCTAAGATATCATTATCACATTATATCTCTCTAAAATTCATGCAACACATCTTTAGAAAAAGGGATTTTGATACTCCCATCAACAAATTCCTATTTATTATTGGAAAGTAGATATTTTTTCATTGATATACTTAATTCTCATTGTTGAGCTGAAATATAATAAGATTTAAACCCGAAATTTCACCAAGATGCATGTAACAGAGGCTTGATAAATTATGTGGATCATTCAAGAAATATCTTAAAGTTTCTCCCACCATAAAGATAGCAAAAAGAAGAAGAAAAAAAGAATAACAAGAGAAATAATCAAGAAATAGAGTAGAGTAGGGGACACAGAGTGAGATTTAACTCATTCTGATACCATAAACAAATATAATGGTGTTCATGATATCTTCTAACATGTTGACAGAAAAAAATAAACCTTATAATATTATTATATAATTTCACACACACAAAAAAAAATTGAAGGCAAGATAAAGAAATAATAATAATAATAATAATATACTTTTCATAATTTTAAGAGATAAATATATATATATATACTTTTTGTTTATGACGATTACGTAATCCATAATATTGATGTATAAGAAAGAGCAACTACGTTGTCGTATATACTAACCCATTTTTGGTCAATTATTGTGATTTACACTTTTTTTTATTGCCTTAAATCCATCTTTCATCAAATAATTTCGTGAATGAATAATTGTTATGATATGCTTGTTTCATGCTCAGTATGTTACTCGTTTATTAATAGAAAATATTATTATCTCTCTCAATTTAATATGTATTAGAACTTTAATCTTATTATAGATAACCTATATAAATTAATATCTCATAAAATTATTACTCAAAAAAGTTTGTTTACACCAATTTCTCAATATTTTTTAAATATAAAAAATAATAAAAATTTCATTAACTAAAAATTAAATTATAATATTTAATTTACATTTTAAAAATTATTTATAAAATACTTTTACTTTAAAAAAAGTTACTTCTTTTATAACATTTTTCTTATAAACTCTTATAAAAAAACTAAATGACGTAAATATGCAATAAAAAATTAAAAAGTATAGTTAAGCCTCTTTATTACAATATTTTTACACCACAAGAAACCATTGTCATCTCTTCCCCAATTCTAATACTAAAAATAAAAAATAAAAAATTCTAAAACTAATCAGCCTCTTGCAATCCGCCGAGCACGACGGAGCCAACGAAGAGCCCAACAGCGCCGACGCCGAGAGCGGCAGCAACAACGGTCTGGACGGCGACGAGCGCGGCGGAGTCATCGGGGATGAGGACGATGGCAGCGATGGAGGCGACGAAGGCGGGGAGCGCGGCGGAGGCGAGGAGGGAGGGGGAGACGCTGGCGGCGCGTTCGAGGAGGCTGAGCAAGCCGAGCTCCTCCGCCTTGGAAAAGACGCCGAGCTTCTCGATTGAAGAGAGCGTGAAGCCCAACTCCTCCGCTTTGGAGAGTAAACCAGCTTTCTCCACATTGCTCAACACCTTCTTCTTCTCCAGCTTCTTGAACACGTCCACCTCCACCTCCTCGCTCCCCTCGTAGAATATTCCCGCTCCGAACCACTCCTTCTTCCACTTATCGTCGTATTTGTTCACCTAAACTCAACACCTTTTCAGTTTCCAATTCAATCACAAAAATTGAACTTCAAATGAATGAAAGAAAAAACAATGATGACTTTTACCTTTTTTATGGGGGCCATAGCGAAGACGGTTAACGGTTTCGTGGAGGTGGGAGTGGGGAGCGAGCGGTGGCGGTGGAATAAGGAAGAGAAGGAGCGGTTGCTGCTGGGGATGGGTCGAAGAACAGGAGCTGAGGATGTTGCAGGGACCGCCATGGTTGTTGTGTCGGAACCAGTGCTTCTCTTCTGCTTGTTATCTCAACTAAACTGCCACGTGGAACGGTGAAGAAAGAGAAAGACTAAAGGACATTTTCTGTCATAATAATAATAAAAAAATTAATAATAATTGTGGCGTGGTGTATGTGACGTGATCTGAATCTGGATTTCCACCAATGGTATTTGAAGGAGCTTTATCCTTTGATAGAAACCGATATTTTATTATTTGTTCTCTTTATTCATCTTTCTTTTCATTTTTGTTTTTTATTATAATTCAATATTATGTTTGTTTGCATGAAAAATATATATAGTGAACCACTATAAATAAATAAGTGAAAAGGACATATTTTAAGAAAATATATATTTATTTTTCACTTAAAAAATAAGAAAAATATTATTATATAAAATCATTTTCACTTAAATAATTTTTTATAATTTTAATATATGTATATATATATATATATATATATATATATATATTAATTGCTATTTTAATAAAATATTATAAATATAAAAATGATTATAAAAATCGGATGAATAGTTTAATATATTTTATTATTTATTTAATTAATTTAACTTCAAATAGTTTTATAATAAAACAATATTTTATAATTATATATTATTGAAAAAATAGATATTAATTTAAGATATTATTTTAAAAATATTTTATTAAAAAATAATTAATAATTATATAGATAATTTATAATCAAATGAATATTTAATTTTAATTTAATTATTTTTTTCTTATTTTCATGTCACTTTTTTTTAATAAATAAAAATACTTTCTGCTTTATTTTTCTTTATTTTTTATTTTTGTCATATTTTCTTTCTTTCTTTCCTACCATATCAAAATAAAATAATGAGGTTTAATTTAGGGGAAAAAATTGAATTTTATTTCTGCATGACCTTTACTTCTTGGCTATCCTAAAATGATAAAAATATTGATTTTATGAGTGGTTGTCGTTAAAGGCTAATAGGTATGTATTATTAGAATAAAAGTTTTATTATGTTAATTTTAATAAAAATGTTTTTTAAAAATGATTATAAAAAATAACAAATTTATTATGTATAATAATTTATTATCGAATAATGATTATATATATTATTGAATAATGATTATATATATTATTTATTTTCTTAATTATTCAGTAACTATTTTATATTTCATATTTAATTTTTTAATTTAAAAATTAATTCATTATATTCAATTTTTGTCCTATTGTTAATAAAAGTAAATAATGTTATTAATTATTTACGTTTATGTAATGATTATTAGTAAGGAAAATAATTTAATAAATTTGTTAATAATTTTCTATAATTAAAGTTAATATATTTATGCCTAGAAATTAAATAAATTAAAATCATCAATAAATTCATAAAAAATCTTAGTGTGATGTTTTTTTTTATTATTTATATAAGAGTAGGAGGTCCAAAAATATTACATATATGTAAAAGTAATTTACATCACTATATAAGATATACAAAAGAAGAAGGAATTTTATTTTTTATTCCTTCTATTTTTTTTCTACAATTTTACAAGTATCTACATTGCCCGTGGAAACAAACTAATTAAGGGTTTTGGAAAAAGGTAGGAAACATACAAAAGGTAACCACTACTGACCCATCTAACATAATGTGATTTCCCATATCAGATACAAATGTTATTATTGAAATCTTGTCCCTCTAAAAGTAACCGAGTTGTTTGTAACATTCGTGTTCCAAGTAGTTCCTGGAAAGAAGGCAATGATGCTTGCAGAAAAGGGATTTGGAATATTTGGCGCCTCCATCTACTTAAGTTGGTGTTTAAATAAAACATGCACAAAAGATCACAATAGGGAGTGAGAATATTTATCATTTACAATAATACAATCTTATAATATATAGATATATATGTTTCAACTTCCTCAACACATTCTATTTAATGAAGATTTAAATTAAATTTGTAGTGACTAGTTAGGATAAATGAGCTCAATTTTAATTACTCTCATAGTGATATTTACTCATTTAAATCCCCAAGGTCCAACCTCCATCTACAATATCATCAAATCTTCACAAATAGATATTATTATGATTGAATAATATAATTATAAATTAATAAATAGGATCAGCTGCATTACTAGAGATAAAATAAACAGGACCAATACATAACTATAACTGAAGATAATTAAAATAGGACCGATCATAAGACTGGAGATAAAATAAAATAAACAAACAGGACCAGTACCTAACTGGAGATAATTAAAATAGGACCAGTGCAAGACTGAAGATAAAATAAATAAATAAAGAGGACCAGTACATTATTAGAGATAAATAAACAAATAACTAAATAAATAGAATGAGGTTAGGGACACCTCACTCCATAACTATAAGCAGAATAAAATAGATTTAATGATAATATTCTCCTCCCCCTACCTTAAGAGTTGCGGATGAGGTACCAAGATTTGTGCAGAGACAATTTTTTTTCTCTCTTTCTCTTCCTCCCTCTCTCTTTCTTTCTCTCTCCTTCTTTCTCTCTCTCTTCCTTTCTCTCTCCTTCTTTCTTTCTTTCCTTCTTTCTCTCTCTTCCTTTCTCTCTCTCCTTCTTTCTCTCTTCCCTTTCTCTTTCTCCCTACGGATCCTTCCTCCCTACCCTTTTTATAGCAATTTTTTTTCTTTTTATTTATTTAATTACATAATCATAAATGCAATAATTATGATTTTGATAATGTTTATCTTGTAAGATAAGATAATGTTTATCTTTTACATTAATTGAGATGTTACATTTCTCCCATACTTACGTAAATTCAGTCCTCGAAATTTTTAGCGACTAAAATAGATGAGGGTAACTTTCTTTGATTTTCTTTTCTAATTTCCACATAGCATCTCCAGTAATTTCATTCCAAACAACCTTTACTAGTGGAATTTGTCTTCCCCTCAGTTGCTTGATCTTCATATCTGTAATCTGTACAGGCATTGTTTCAAATATAAGGTTATCCTTTAATTGTACTGTATCCGGCATTATTACATGAGAAGGGTCAGAAATATATTTTCTTAATTGAGACACATGAAACACATTATGAAGATTAGAAAGGAAAGGGGGTAAGGAAATTTGATAAGCAACAGGACCTATTTTTTCTAAGAATTTGATAGGGACCAATAAATCGAGGAGTGAGTTTCTTGGCTTTCATTACTCTACCAACTCCGGTTGTCGGTGTTACTTTCAAGAATACATGTTCACCTTCTTGAAATTCAAGGGGTCGTCTTCTCTTGTCAGCATAGCTTTTCTGCCGGCTTTGAGTTGTTCTTAATTTTTCCCTAATCATCTTAATTTTCTCCGTGGTTTGTTGAATCATGTCAGGACCTAAGATTAAATTTTCTCTAGTCTCAAACCAACATAAAGGTGTCCTACATTTTCTCCCATACAATGCCTCATAGGGTGTCATACCTATGCTAGAATGGAAACTGTTGTTATAAGTAAATTCAATTAATGATAAGTATCGATCCCAGCTACCAGAATTTTCTAACACACATGCTCTCAACAAATCTTCCAAGGACTGAATGGTTATTTCTGATTGTCCATCAGTTTGAAGATGATAAGCTGAGCTAAGATGAAGCTTAGTTCCTAAGGCTTGAGGTAGGCTTCCCCAAAATTTAGAAGTAAACCTAGGATCCCGGTCAGAAATAATACTAGATGGAACTCCATGTAACCTCACAATTTCTTTTATGTACAATTCAGTCAGTTTCTCCAATGAATACCTGATGTTAATGGGTAGAAAATGAGCAGACTTTGTCAACCTATCCACGATAACCCATATGGAATCAAATTTTTGAATTGTTCGTGGTAAGCCAACTATAAAGTCCATTGCAATACTATCCCATTTCCACTCAGGTATGTCTAAAGATTGTAACATCCCTGCAGGCCTTTGATGTTCTATCTTAGCTTTTTGACAAACTAAGCATGATGTTACATATTGTGCTACTTGCTTCTTCATTTTAGGCCACCAAAATATTTTCTTAAGATCTTGATACATTTTTGTTGTGCCTGGATGTATGCTCAATTTACTCTTATGTGCTTAATCTAAAATTAGCTTTCTAATCTCTACATTATTAGGCACACATACTCTACCACTAAATCTCAAAATTCCTGCTTTATCTATGCCAAATTTTTCTCCATTCTTTTGTCCTATCAATTTCTTTTTCTTTTGAATAAATTCATCAACTACTTGTGCCTCTTGAATTTGTCTTTGTAATCCACTAGTAATCTGAGTTAAGTTTAATTTTATTCTATCAAGGTTCATGGTAATTGATAAATTCATGTTTCTGAACTCTTCTAGCAGACTCATCTCATGAATCATAAGGGAAGAGACATGTAATGATTTTCTGCTTAAAGCGTCTGCTACTACATTTGCCTTTCCTGGATGGTAATGTAATTCAAATTCATAATCTTTCAAAAATTCCATCCATCTTCTCTGTCTCATATTTAACTCTTTTTTATCAAACAAGTATTTAAGACTTTTATGATCACTAAAAACCTCAAACTTACCATCATACACATAATGTCTCCATATTTTGAGTGCAAAAACGATGACGGCTAGTTCTAGATCATGAGTTGGATAATTTTTCTCATGTGTTCTTAATTGTCTTGAGGCATATGCAACTACCCTTCTATCTTGCATAAGAACACATCCTAATCCCATTTTGGAAGCATCACAAAATATCACAAAATGTCCAGTTGGGTTAGGTAATGCTAGTACAGGAGAAGTGGTTAATCTTTTCTTAAGTTCTTGAAAACTATTTTCGCATTTTTCTGTCCATTCAAAAGCTTGACCTTTCTTGGTGAGTTGGGTTAAAGGCATAGCCATTTTAGAAAATCCCTCAATGAATCTCCTATAATCTCCTATATATAATTTACATCACTATATAAGATATACAAAAGAAGAAGAAATTTTATTTTTGATTCCTTCTATTTTTTTTTCTACAATTTTACAAGTATCTACATTGCCAGTGGAAACAAACTGATT